AATACCCACCCTATAAATTTCAAACAATTTTATAACAAACCCTTGAAAAATTTTGATTTATATTAACGATATGTTATCTTTGGTAATCCTTATTTTAATTTATATTGCAGATAAATATTATTTCATTTTCAAAAATTATTTAAAAATTTTAAAAGTAGTATTTTATATAAAAACAGCTTTCTACACACTCGGATATTAACGTACACAGAGCTTTTAATGGATCATGATCTAAGCATCGACGATCTTGGATTCTAATCCTTATTTAGATAAATGAAGATTTTCGTTTTAAGTCGTGAGATCATTTTGTTAATGTTCTTCGATTTATTTAAAAAATTATTATTTTACAATAAAAATTTTATATTATTATTATTTTTAAAATAATATTTAAAATTAAAAAAATCTATCTCCATCATATTTTATAATTTGTTTAGATTTTAATCAAGACAACATTATATTCACAGCAGAAGTTATTTCACAAGTTTTTTTAAAATATTGAATGATAAAATAAATAATTATGCAGATCGAGAAGAAATAATTGTTGAAGATAATAATAATCGGATAAAAAACAAGCCTATCACTAATTTGGAAAACCCACTTGATCAGCCATATCAAGATCAAATTCCATGACAATCATAATATGGATGAGCTTGAAACTTTTTATGCTATTTCACTTATTTTTTTATACAAATGATGAAACAAATAATATTTTAGTAAATTTTAAAAAAATCTTTATAAAATATGGTAGTCATCTTCATTGGAGCTATTTTTTTCAAACCCGGCTCGTCCCGAAATTTTTTTTTGACCCTTAAAAGCCCGACCCGAAATAAAAGAATGTATTTGTCGGTCCTGTCTGAATTTATTTAGATATAGAAAAATTTAATATTTTTTCCCCGCCCGAATTTGAAAATATTAGGCCCAACTCAGCCCAAACTTCAGAGACCTTCATGGGTCTTAATTTTTTGACCAAGCCCGGCTCAGGCTCGCAGTAAAAAATTTTTAGGTCCAAGCCCGGCTCGGCTCATATCTAATGTTAAAAAAATTCCCAAGTCCGGCCCAAGCCCATGATAAGTTTCAAAAAAATTTCCCAAACCCGGCCCAAACCAATATCCAAAAATTTAATTTTTTTTTATTTAATGAAAATAAACAATATTTAAATATATTTAGGCAATCATTTTGATTACAATACTGAAATTTATTATTATTGAAGGGAAAAGGGCAATATTTCTTTAAATTATCAACTGTTTTAAATAATTTAAATTTAATAATTTTAGGCCCAAGCCCATTAAAAATAATTTTAAAAATCCAGGCATGGGCCGCCCAGCCCGGCCCATGAAGGTTTCTGGCCCAAACCCGAAATTATTTTGCATAGGTGTTTTAGTAACATTAATTTAGAAAAAAATTTATTAAGTATTTAGAAAAATATAAATAAATATAGTGCGTTTAAAAATTAGACCCGATTCAGATCATCCAATACCGTAGACGGGGGGGGGGGGGGGGTGTTGAAACTCCCCTCGTGGATATGGTTAGGCAAAATTTTGTATTTTGATAACACTTTTTTTTTGTTATCTATAGTAAAATTTGCTTTCATTTCTTTTAAATTGATGAAATCCCCTCCTTAATTTTCTATCATCTCAAAAATTACCTCTTAAACATTTTGTTACAAATTATAAGAAAAAAAAATGAGAAGCGGGACGCTTCCTAAAGACGCGTTATAGGTGGCCTTTTCTATTTTTTCCAAATGTAAAAACGCAACAATCATACTTAGTGCTTGAGTAAAAAATCATCTATTTTAGACGTTTTCTTTTCAGCTTCACCGTAACCAATCTATCTTATTTTGGTATCACATTGTCTAAAGAAGCCACAAGTCTATTTGGTTACTTTTTTATGCTACTGCTATTAAATTGTAAAAGTATCCATCTAGAGATATCGAGTCTTATTATTTAAAGTATTTTTTTATAATAATGATAGTGATTATTTTTTATATATTTCCTTTATTTAATGTTTTTTTTATTATAATTGTTTTTAGGGCTTCTATATTTTTTGTTTTATCTTGAATTTCGGATACCAAGAAATTTTGTTAATAATTATTTTTTCTATTTATCAAACCGATTTAAACATTAAACTAAAATGTATACTAGAGCTTTACATTGGCCTTAGCGTTAAAATTGGTGCCGTCAAAAGTTTAATGCAAAAGACTGCGTCTTGATATGAGATTCATATCATTTTTGAAAATATAACTCGATTCAAAATGTAATTTAATAATTTTACCTTTTTATCTATTAAATAAACAGGAAAAAAACTAATAATATTTATAAAGATTGTAGAATCATAAGAAAAATATTTTGAATCAGCGAAAAAAAAATCTTAATATATTTAGTGGTACTTGATTATTGAATCCCAATTCGATATTTAAAGCTCGGTTAAGGCGTGCCATTATATAACTCGATTCAAAATGTAATAAGATTTAATAATTTTACTTTTTTATCTATTAAATAAACAGAAAAAAACTAATAATATTTATAAAGATCGTAGAATCATAAGAAAAATATTTTGAATCAGCGAAAAAAAAATCTTAATATATTTAGTGGTACTTGATTATTGAATCCCAATTCGATATTTAAAGCTCGGTTAAGGCGTGCTATTATAGTTTTAATTTCGCTTATAACTTTTGTTTGTAGATTGTAACGCAAGTACCTATCAGACATTATATTAACGGATCTGGCTTGTTTTCTTTGTAAAATACGATATTATAAAATAAAATTTTCCAATCCGATAAAATGGCTTCTTAATTTTTAAAAAATAAGATGTTATTAAAATTTTTAAAAAAGTCGTATCTAAAAAAATTTTATAAAATAAAAACAAATTTTAAATATTTATTTCAAATTTATAATATATTTGTTTATTACTTATTATGTAAATATAGATTAATTTTATTATATAAATAAGTGATTTTCATTATAATATATTTAATAAATTATTTATGTTATGGTAAAGATAAATTATAAATGTTATACTATTAAAAAGTATACGAGATAAGTAGCATTAAAAATTAAAACGATTAGTATTTACAGAATACAAAATTAGATATGATATCGGGTCGGTAATATGCCGATATCAATTAAAATTAATATCGGATCAGCCTCAAAGTGGTGACGGTGCAACTCTGCTAATAATGCCATTTACTTAGATGATTTACTAAACGAGTTAAAGCACTAGAATGTACTAAATACACAAATAATTAAAATATGCCCATTACCTCCTTCATCCTGTCAATTATAAAATTATTTTTATGTGTTTTTATTATATATTTATAAAATATTATTTACAAAAATTACCACTATAAGTTAATTTTTTATTGGTTTATTCTTCATCTTTTCAGGATTTTGTAAAATAAGTAATTTTGTAAACGAATGAACGAAGTTCATTTTTTTGAAAAAAATGATGAACGACGTTCCTTTTATTCTTAATGAACGTGGACGCGTTCCTTTTTTACGTTCGTTTAATTAAACTTATTTTTATTCATTTGGAGATAAAAAATATTTAATATTAATCTAAAATTTTTAAGAAAAGGGGGTTATTTTTTAATCAGCTGTTTCCTTATCACATTTGAATTTTTTAACCATCGATATTTCAGTTTTATAGTTTAGTTTATTAATTTGAATATTATTTATTTTATAGATTAGTGTAAGCATGAATGTTGTTATTTCATCACATGATTCTGAATTCCATGACCCAAATATAAAAAATACTTTACAGTAACATCATATATTCAGTAAACTAGTTCTATCCTTACCAAATTTAAAATGTGTAAAATAGTATAATACCTATTTCAAAATCTTCAAGTTCCAATTTGAGATACTTGATTGTAATATTTATTATTTTAAGTATTCTGTTAATAATTTATTTTAGATTGTTTTATTTCATATGCTTATTAAATTATTACGATTATTATAATAGATATATAATGTAAATATCATTAAATATAATATATATATATATATAGATATAAAATAATTAATATCTTTTAGAATTTATTTATTTTTAATGTGATTATTTGAAATTTAGCTATTATAATTAAGTTTTTACCAAGGGTTTTAAATTTTAATAGTTGAACACAATTCAAATAAATTGATATATTTTATTTCATAATAAAAGTTTTTATATATTAAAAATTAATAATAAATGAAAATATATTTTTATTCACTTAAATCTATAATTTTAAACATGGCTAATATATCATGTTAAAATATATATAGTATTTATTTATATTAAATGGAATTTTTTAAAAAAAATTATTCATAGAGTTTTGAACGAGCATGAACGCGATCCGCTTTTGAAGGTGAACATTAATCGTGAACGCGTTCTCTTTTTTTTATAAATGTTTACAGTACTAAAAATAAGTAGATTAGAAAAAATATTCGGAAAATATTTGTATTATCCACAATTTGTTATGTTAGAATGAGTGTATCTAGAATCGCCACTATGTTTGTATTATAAAGAAATTAATTTAAAGAATTAAAATATGATTATTGACATTGGTCTTCTGAAAACATCGGTCACCTTTTATATTATCTTTATTCTACCTATTCAAAAATTTTATGCAAGCATTTTTTATTCTAAATAGATCAATTCCGTAATTGGTCAACACTGTTTATTTGATTCTAATTTACAATATTAAGCCAACAATAATATTTTAAAAGGAATATTTTGAACATTGGTTACCTTTTATACTATGCAGAAAAATTCTAATACAAAATAATTTTACTTAAATTAGGCGTATTTTTAAATTAATTAGCTCTAGCCAAATTTTATTCAGAAACTTGAAAAACTTAATTAGGTTTAGACAAGATTTTTGGAAGAGCAATATTAGGTCTAGCCGATTATTTGCCTAAAAATTAAGCTTAAAAGTTTTAGGTTAGGCTAAAGTTTGGTTTTCAACAGCACTACTCCTGCTAACTATTACTTGAATTAACAAAATGTTATATTCTTAATTATTTAAGTCAATTCATGCTCTGGGAAAGGATTGGCATCCCGAACATTTCAGATGCTCGCAATGCAAACGTGAAATCGGAACCCAAAATTTTTTCGAATACAAAGGTCTCCCCTTTTGTGAATCCGATTACCATGAATTATTTTCACCCAGATGTGCGGCCTGTAAAAAACCCATTCTTGAAGTTTATATTTTTGAAAAATAATTGTATTTTACACATTGCCTTTATAAAAGTTTTTTTTTTTAAATGTCAAACTCTTTTATTTTTACCATCTATGCTAACTCGTTTTCATTTTAGTGGAAATACAAAAATTAATAATATATATCTCGATAGTTACATCTACTAATTGTCAATTTTCGTTAATAGCATTCAACATTCTAAAAACCTTAGTCAACAAATGAAATTTAACCAATGAAGCCAAGAAATATTTATGCATTAGACAAAATTAAATTTTTTAGATGCAATTATGTTTTCTTTGGGTATTCATTAATGCAATTATATTCAGCCTTCATATGTTTATTAAATTATTTAACTTTTTAACTAAATTTTTATCTTTAAAAATTCGTCTCAATTTTTAAGTTGAGGCATAACTTGGAGGTTTTGATCATAAGCCGTATTGGGGTTGGCCTAAGTTAGATAATTTAACAATACTATTTATTATATCCTTAAGCAAAACAAATGGGTATTTCTGACCTATCGCAAAGGGTTAGCATAACAAATGATATCTAAAATAATATGCTCGCATAAAATCACAATTGTCTGTTTTATTAAAACCGGATTATCAGAATCTAATTTCAAAAATAGCCCATTACCGTAAAATTTTTAAAAAATGTAGCCCGCCAGTAGGAGAAAAAATTTGAATAATTTTTGGGGTAAATTTAATATATTGTTATAAAATTCAAGATTTTTTCGACCTTAAATTTATAAATTAGGTATTTACTAATAAAAACATGATTTTTATTTAAAAAATTTTAACCTTTTGCGACAATTTTTTATTTATACATCAAATTTGATAAATATTTATTAAACCTTAATATTTCAAATTATCTCAGCTGTAATCAGGGGGAACATTTTATACGTTTTACCCATATTCACCTCAAGGTTATATATATTAGACAAATCGTTATTGCATGACTTTTAATTAAGCTATAAACTTAGGGGAGGTATGGCATAAATGGCCATGTTTGAAGACTAACCACCACTTTACTTTTAATTTATTGGTACAATTAATTCAAAATTGGTCAAAATGTGTATTTATGATATGCACCTTACCTAATTTTATATAAATAGAACAATCTAAAAAAAATTAAAATTAATGATTTTTAGTACCTCTTTCTAGAAAAATCACATTATACACTTATTTCTTTGGTGAAAAAATCAAAAATTAAAGCTTACAAGTTTCATTTAATATGCATATAAAGGCATTTAATGATAAAAAATAGGTGAATATTGTCTGGCCATGTATTTACTGGAAAATTCACATATTCCTTTTGAAATGAAAAGCTTACATAAACTAACATTGATGATGCAGAACAAATTAAATTGGCAATTGATGATATAATCATTAATAAAAATTCTACATTATCAGTTTTGATTAAATTTAATAATCCTACAACAACTTTAATAAGAGCAATACAAAAATACTAATAGATTTTGCAATATCCCCATATGGAATGGAATTCAAATAGATTTATTCACCAAACCTCAGTAGGAAATTTTAATAAAACAAGCTAGCAAATCATTTTAGGGGTTTAGTATAAAATAATTAAAATATAAATATGCTAAACAATTTTTTAATTATATTAATGACATATTAGAATTATCTGTTAGATAAATTAGTTATGGTAGAATTATTAATTTTATAAATATGTTAGAGAATTTTTTAATGATATTAAATATATATTAGAATTAATTACCTGTTAAATAATTATTGATTTAATTATATAAAAAAGTTTATGTTTAAAATTATTTGTTTTTAGATAAGAATATTTGCACATGATTTAGAAAAAAAAATATGTGTTAAAGTTTCCTAAATTTTACTAAGAAGAATGAGTAGCTTGCATTATATGCAAGGAGAAATATTCAAAGAGCAAGAAAGGAGAAGAGTGAATTAAATGCATTCATTGTGAAGAATGCTTAATATAATAATATTTGTTTTTTATTTATGTAAATTAATATTTTATAATTTTCATAATTATAAATGACTTTCATTATTGTTGTGTATTCATTATAATTTTCTTATTAAGTTTATTAAACATCATAAATTTTTAAATGAATGATTAAATTATTGAAATAAGAATTTAACACATGGATAATTAAGAGAATAATTTATAAAATCATTAAATAGATAAGTGGTTAATTTTTATTGGTATAAAAATGTTTAACGTACAGAAAATAATTTATAAAATATTAAATAATATATTATGGCCAGTTAATAATACCATGTTTTGACTGGCAAACTCACGTAATAGATATAGCTCAAAAACTATTATAGATAAGGCTTTGATTTATATTTTATCTTAAAGATTAGGAATTATTAAATTTGTTTCTTTAAATCTAATTCATAATCCCTTTTTTTAAAGCAAAATCATGGCTAGTCATACTTAGACCTGCGCAGATAACCTTATCGGCGGCGGCTTTTTTTTAAACGACCGGCTGGCTGAGGCAAATCGAGACGCCGCCGCTCTAACTTAAATTTTTTAATTAAAATTATAAATTTATTGGAAACACTTATAAAATAAAATTTATGCCTTATTCAAATTTCTAATATGACTTGTTATATTAGATATATATATATAATTGCATGTAAAATTTATTTTATAATTAGTATTATAATTTTAAAAATTTTTAAATTACAATATTAAGCGGAATAAAAATATTAAGTTCTTAAAAAATTAAATTAACTATAATTTAAAGGTTTTATAAAGTTATAATTATCATGTTTAAATATTATTTTATTTAGATGTATAGAACATATTGGTGATCTTTTAGAGTTCAAAGTGGTCCCAGATATGAAAAATATATCTCGCTGGGTGTGCTCGTAGCTGGAACGTACATGACTTTTCTAGCTAATACTGTTTAGGAAGATCCAATGCTTTTATATCTTTAAATTATAAGGTGAGAGTAATAAATAACACTTTTTTTCTAGACTAGTTAAATAGTACTATTCCAGATTCTTGTGATGAACTTTTAGTAGGTAATACCTTAAGATAATCGAATTCTGAAGCAAGTTTTACTGTTTCACATTCAGTTAATTCGTAGAAACAGAGAAGTAGTACTGACATAATTGTACCAGAGTAAAATTTTCCTTTAAATATTTATTTACTATGTTTATAGTTTGAAAACGAGGCCAGTGCTTCTAACAACTAAGTAAAAAATGAAACAGGGAGAAATGAATAAATAAAAACTAATTTATGTATTTTAAAATACCCTGTAGATCAGTTATTGGAACATGATCAAAATTATTAAGCATATTTTGATTAAGGGATGCTACTGGAGAACTATCATATTCTTTTACTATTAAATGATTTTTAATTTCACTACAATATAATAAGGAGAAATTTATAGTACATTCTTTTTGAGCGTATACAAATTCAACAGTTTTTTAAAAATTTCTAAGGAATTTTAAAAGTTCAAAGTATCAAAAGAGGCTTTGACGAATTTTTATCAGATATGGGTTATGATAAGAGCAACTATAACCATTTTATTTAATACATATATCATATTTTCATATAAAATTAATCCATTTCATTTCAGCAAAATATATATAATATTAGGTTTGTATTACTATAATATGCAACCTTGCTGAAAGATAAATAAAATCCTAAACCAAAATGGTCAAAATTGAGAATAAGATTTATTTTTAAATCTGCTAGTTTCATATATACATTGTAGGAACATTTAATTTTAAGGTTTTATGTTTTTTTGATTTTTGATTTGCACTTCATTATCAAAACGATCATCTTAAATAGGATTATTATCATCAAAATCTAAAATATCCGATAATAACGTTTAAAAACATTTCCTATTTTCGATATCGATTTTATCTTCAAAATCCGATGTTTTGAATCTTAATGCAACTATAATTTCACTTTTTTAATGAGATTTTTTATTTTATTAATTTTTTTTATTCCATCTACTTATTGTCACTAGATTATGTAATCCATCGCCCAAACATACATGATGGTCATATTCTCCTAGACGAACACTTTTCTTTACATTGGGTCCTGCATTTAAATTTTCTTATATCCTAAATTTTCATTTTCAACTTTATCTATCGCGGAAATAATAGTTTCGGTGGTATGTTTTTGAGTGACATGATGCGTAGCCAATGTATAAAATGCGATATTAAAATTATTATCTGTTTCTTGCAATGTAAAGGTAGTATAATTTCGCCGTCTATATTTGTCAGTCCACATATCAAAAGTTATATCAAAAAATAAAATCGCATTTTTCAATAATTTAAATTATATTTAATATTATTTTTTCTATTCATAATATATTTTTAAAAATAAAAAATATGTTTCACGCCACCAAGTTTTCTATCGGCAGCGACATGTTAAGCGCCGACACTTTTATGGCGTTGGCATGGTCAAAAATTACTGGCGGTGGCGCACAGGCATACTATATTTCCCTTATACAAATTTTCAAATAATGATAATAAATATATTTTGTTAAGCAAAATTTACTAGTGCGTGATTTTTATAATTTTTGGGTAAATAGTTTTTTTGGCAAAATATGTCAAACCAGGAAGAATTTCCAAAAGATGGATATAGATAAGAAATTATATAAATAAATACATCTCTACACCATATTGAGGGTCTTTATGCTCAAGAATTAAAAAAATATTCGCGCATTATTATCCCGTCAATCGCTTTACCCCGGTCTCCCCGAGTTTGTATAAAAAAATTAAACAATATAAAATTATGTTTTTTGTTCTTTTAGGGATAATAGTCCTGATTTTTAATGTAAAAATTTAAGAACCTTAACATGTAAAATTATATAATATTTAAATGCGTGCGATAATTTTTTTTTAAAAAAATATTAAAAATAACTACTCTCTGCCTAGTGTTTATAGTTGTCCGGTCGAACCGATGATCCAGTCCGGTCTCATCTGAATATTGGGTCCGAAGGTACGATTTGGTCCGGCAAGATGGTCCGGTCCGACCGATTAAAAAGATAAA